CAAAAATAAAAATACTACAGAAAGACGCGATCTTCATCCACTGATGAAAAAAGTCGCCTAATAAATTTTACTGACAATGATATTTACGAGCAGCTCGATTTCATCTCATCGTCAAAATATAAAAATGTCCAATTATCAGATTGCAGATTCGTACCTATTTTTGCACGAACACAATTAGGAAGATTGTTTCTCTTGCATTCTTTCCACATCACTCTGAAATTTTCTACAAATTCACGAAGATCCAGTTCTAAATTTTCTCTCGTTCGACGCAGCTTTCTCCGAATTGTTCGCAAAAAAACTCCAATTACCACGGGTAATGAAAGAAAGATCTAGCGTTAAATGAAAAAATTCCCCCGATTTCCCGTTGTCAGCGAGAAATGTTTGCAAATTTGCGAGTGTATCGTGGTCGACAATGGGCGATCACTCTGGCTCGTATCGAACAACCTCCTGCGGGAGAAAAACTTGGCTCTCTCGCGCGGTGGTCCAAAAAAAGAACCGACGAGTTTTTCGCTAAAGGGTCGAAAATGAAATTTCGCGTTATTGATGACCGATGCCCGTATAAATCAAACGAGCTGACAAAAAGTGCGGGACGGGGGACGAGGTTTTGCCTCGATTCTCTAACGGTTTCGTGAAGTTTTCCATTTAACGGTGGGAAACACGGCTGTTGGATATCGTGCCAGTACGAGTCGAACATCGAGCACAATGCAAAGTTTCGTGCGTCGATAAACGAGGATAACGTGATATCACGTACCAATCAAGCTTGTGTACACTTTTTACTTGGAAAAAAGATGAAAAGTGACAATTTTCAAACGAAATTTCCGTCAATTTCTTATCTTTGTTTGTCAAAAATATCGAAAAGATGGGAAAAAAGTTCAAGTTAAATGCGTGGAATACAGATAAAATGTAACAGAATATAAATCGAAATAATGAATCGTTTAATTTCTTTCTTTTTTTTTTCAAAAATATCTAAAGAAAGAAATAGCTCTATTTTGCGTTCGAATTAAATAAATCACTTGCAAGTAATTTTTTTTTTTTTCTTTCTTCATTCTGAATTAACTCACTGAAATGAAATAGGAAATAATCTAAATATAAGAAAATTCTTTACAGGTATAATAATATTATAATATTTACTAATATATATAATAGTATTTTATATTGCAATATTTACTAGAACAATAATATTAATTTCATTCCCAAGCCTTTTACAATTTCTAAATACTCCTTTTTCTTTTAGATTATCTCTAAATAATTTATTTTCAAATCTTCTAATAAATATTAAGTAGAATATTAATGTCAATTATTTGAATACAATTTTATGACGTTTCCTGTTTCACCCCCTTACCATCTAATTAATATAATTTTGAAATTCGATTCAAAAATCTAATTTAGAAATAATATAAATAACGCGTAATGTAAATGTAATTTAGAATTAAAGTAAATTTCAATATTTGACATCTAAATAAATTTCAACATAATTTAGAATTAGAATAAATTTCAGTGACGAATGTATTAAGAACAAATTGCGCAATAAAAATATATAATAGTTGAAAATCAAATTTCAATGTTTAGAATTTAAGCAAGTTCGAATATAATTTCGAAATTATATCCAACAGGTAATAGATGTGTCCTATATAATGCATACGTAGCAAATTGTGCAACAGCTGTATTTATCAGCTACTGTTCCGACAGCTTCGTCTCTCCATTACTGACAATAAATTGTAAGTTACTCGCTTCCAACAGGCTGTGTGACTTACCTTCTCCAAAGCGGTTTCTCCAAAATGCTCTCCTAGAAGCTCTTGCTAGTTTATAATACGTCGATCATTATCGACAAGTGGTAAGTAACTCTCCGAGAGAAGCAGTCTTACAAGTTCTAATTAGAATCCCAAGTTTTCCTACCGCGAGCATCAACAAGCCAAGAAATATGAAAATGATAGTGGAAATTCATATTATTGAAAAATTATATTCTCATTGTCAGTGAAAAATATTGCTCAACTTTTTACTTGTTCCTGTTACACTGCCACGGTTTGCTGCAGTTTGTTCTTATAGATATTTTAGGATGATGAAACTAAAAGAAATGTTATCGGCAATAAAATTTTAGATGACCATTCAATTTACTTATTTGATTTGATAAAATACTAATTTTATAAAAATTTTAGTAAAATAATTTAGTGAAATTATTTTAATAGTGTTAATAATATTTCAATTTGATAATTTAATAAAATACTAATTTAATAACAATTTTGAACAACATTTTAGATAATCCTGTAAAATGAAATGCCATGTTTATTGTAATTTTCGTCGTAACATAACACTTCTTCTTAATAATATTTATTATTTTTATATATTTATTTATTATATTTATTATTTTTATATACATATATTTATTATATTTATTATTTTTATATATTTATTTATTATATTTATTATTTTTATATACATATATTTATTATATTTATTATTTTTATATATTTATTTATTATATTTATTATTTTTATATACATATATTTATTATATTTATTATTTTTATATATTTATTTATTATATTTATTATTTTTATATACATATATTTATTATATTTATTATTATTAATTAATATCTGTTTCTCTTCCGTATATTCTTCAATTAATTTCTTTTCAAAGTAGTAGTCATCAAAGATATTCGAAATAATTGAAGGAACGCTTCTCGAAGCGTGAAATACTATTTTAAGTAATAATTTCTAACGCGCCTTGAACAATTATCATTTCAATCCGTGTGTTTGAACAATTTCAGTAAATAATCGCGTGTATCATACGTCGGGTAAAATAAATATTCAACTAGTATTTAATTTCAATGACAGTACTTCATTTGTTTCAGAGACTTTTTATTCTAGACGTACTCCGTGCTCATAAAAAAATAATATAAAACGATGTAGCCTGAAAGGTTTAAATTCGACGAAAAGTCCCCGGCTTATCAAGCTCCTCTGGCGATAGAATCACGATTCCAATCTCTTGGATTAGGCATCGTCATCGCAAGTAGCATTCGATTGTGCCGTTTCGATGACTCTCGGCAACGATTCACGCGGAAATCGGCTTACACGCGAAATGGGGACATCGAACCTTGTGGATTCGTTTTCAGTAAAAATGCGGAATGTTAGCAACGTTTCTATCATTTCGTACGATCGAGTGCATCGAAAACGGATCATTCTTCCATTGAATTCCTTTCTTTCTTCTTCTTTTTTTGGATTAGTGTCCAAAATAAAATGAAACAATTAAAATAGACGATGAAATTTGTTTAGTTTTCAGGGAGATTAATAACACCAGAACTACTTCTAAAAATCAAATTTCAAATTAGAAATTTTACAGATGTAAAACAATGTATTTTTAGAGATTCAGGTGATTTTTTTCGTTTACTTTACTTGTCTCTGAAATTTTATGCTTTAGTCGCTGGTAATTCCAGTATTGGAATAAATACTAAAAAAGAAAAATAAAGATTCAGTAATTCATTAACGATCTTTATAATTTAATTGTATGATTCAATCCTTTCATATTTTTTATTGCATAATTATTATCATATAATAACTATTAATATATTTTTTTATATAATTAATTATTGTATATTGTATAATTATTATTATTCTTTCTTATTTATTATTGTATACTGCATAATTATTATATTAATTATAATTGTTTTTGTTTTGTACTGTATAATATTTACAACATAATGTCTTAACGACAGACCAGTAATGAAAATAAAATAGCGTGATAAAAATGAAATGAAAAATTGCCCCAGCTTTCGCGATATCAGAAAAAAAATCCGTCGAGTCGTTGAACATCGAACAGCATGATAAATCAAAAATCTGCAAACGTTAGCTGAATACTAACTGCGAGGCCAATAGACAGACGCCAGCCTGTATAAACGAACGGGAAATAGGAGTGGAAGAAAAGCTGAAGAGCTCTTGAAAGACAAGATATATGTGTTCAAGGATGTACATAACTCGATAAGTTGAGGATTTTGAGACTACCGGCAAACAGTTTTAGATTGAAGAGGTCTTACTTGTCGTCTTGTGTTTGTCGACGGCAAACGCCTATCTTGTAAATATGTTTCAACGATCGACTTGAATCCATTCTCTCGAATTGTTGTTCGTTTATTCTACTTAAATTTATTTATTTATTATCATAGTAGTGCTTTAGACAAATATCTCGTGTAACTTAGCGTAATTTCATTTAATGACTACAGACGCTGTTAAATAATATTTATTAAACGTCGATTCGAGACGTGAACTGTATTTTGTTGCAATTATTTATTGAACGTCGATCTGACTGAAATTAAGAGCTACTTGCAATACTAATGCAAGTGTTCGAAAAACGATAGATTAACAGAACAACTGATTATTCCTATTAAATTAATTTCTAAAATTGATTACAACGATCACGTTGTAATAATGTGTAATCACGTTGAAAATAATACCACGCTGACTGATGTATTTTAAAAAATATACGGTTTCATTTAAAACTACGAGTCTTTATATATTCTCTCTCGCGAAAGTAACAAGTAACGTTAGAACATGCATTTATAAACTAACAATGGCGCTAACGTGAATCAAGATGTCAAAACGAGGTGAAACCAGACAGATGAAAGATAGCCTTTACTCCCTTTACAAGCATTCTCCATTCGAGAAACCGTCGAAAACACAATTTATACGTCACACGAATATCTCTTAATAAATATTCTCTTTTCCTCCATCCCGTGTGTGCATAATAATCTCAGATCCCAACAAGAAATCCAATGCGTTCAATGCGATTCTCCTTCTTCTCGACTTTTGTTCTCGTCAGGTGTCGAATCGATACCGCGAGAAGTCCATGGGAACCCGCAAACTGCGCCCCGTTTCGCGTGACGCGACAAATAAACCTGACCTGTTAGCCGAGCGAGACACGTTCCCTCTTAACCCCTCTTCAGCGCCGAGCTTGGCACCGTTTCCATCAATCTCGGCGTGTCATCGATGCTCTCGTTTCTCATTGCAGGCCGCGTGGGTTTCTCTGAGTCGGGACCGGCGATAGCAGAGCCGCGATCAAAATGAGCATACTAAACACGGATTCGGAGAACCGCGTGATCCTGAACGTGGGCGGTATCCGGCACGAGACGTACAAGGCCACCCTGAAGAAGATCCCCGCGACCAGGCTGTCAAAGTTGACCGAGGCACTGGGCAACTACGACCCGATCCTCAACGAGTACTTCTTCGACAGGCATCCGGGGGTCTTCGCCCAGGTGCTCAATTACTATCGCACCGGCAAGCTTCACTATCCGACCGACGTGTGCGGCCCGTTGTTCGAGGAGGAGCTGGACTTTTGGGGCCTCGACTCCAATCAGGTGGAGCCATGTTGCTGGATGACGTACACCCAGGTATATATACGTATACGCATCGATCTATGGATCCATCGAGCTTTCGTTTCTGTCGGCTTGCCTTCACTTCATGCGTTTGTCACTCATTATGTACTTTAATCATTGCGGATGCGGCTTGAGAGACCAAAGTCAGTTCAAGTTTTTAAGTTCTAGATTTATTTTCTTTTTTCTTCTTTTTTTTTTTCTTTTTGATGAGTTTATGTTTCTAACAAAAACTTTTTTTTTTTACTTTAGGTCAGTTACTATTATGTCAGATACTAATTGTAGGTTAAATTTGGGTAAAGTTTTATTTTCAATTAAAAGTATTCATTTTTTAAGCAACTGCTGGAGTAGCTCTTGATTTTGAAGAACTAGGTGAGGTTCTATTTCTGATTAAAAGTTTTTTTATTTTTATTTTCAAGCAGCTGCAAAGTTGGATTAGGCAAAATTTCATTTCTGAAGTCTTCGTTTCTAAGCTCTAGATTTCGCTACATTTTTGATGAATTTATGTTTCTAAAAGTTTTCTTTTACTTTAGATTAGTTGCTACTCTTAGATAGCAGGTGAGGTTTGGGTAAAGTTTTATTTTCAATTAAAGGTATTCATTTTTTAAGCAACTGCTGGATTGGCTCTTGATTTTGAAGGACGAGATGAGGTTCTATTTTCGACTGAAAGCTTTTATTTTCAAGCAGCTGCAAAGTTGGATTAAGCAAAATTTTATTTCTAAAGTCTTCGTTTCTAAGCTCTAGATTTCGCTATATTTTTGATGAATTTATGTTTCTAAAAGTTTTCTTTTACTTTAGATTAGTTGCTACTCTTAGATAGCAGGTGAGGTTTGGGTAAAGTTTTATTTTCAATTAAAGGTATTCATTTTTTAAGCAACTGCTGGATTAGCTCTTGATTTTGAAGGACGAGATGAGGTTCTATTTTCGACTGAAAGCTTTTATTTTCAAGCAGCTGCAAAGTTGGATTAAGCAAAATTTTATTTCTAAAGTCTTCGTTTCTAAGCTCTAGATTTCGCTATATTTTTGATGAATTTATGTTTCTAAAAGTTTTCTTTTACTTTAGATTAGTTGCTACTCTTAGATAGCAGGTGAGGATTGGGTAAAGTTTTATTTTCAATTAAAGGAATTCATTTTTTAAGCAACTGCTGGATTAGCTCTTGATTTTGAAGGACGAGATGAGGTTCTATTTTCGACTGAAAGCTTTTATTTTCAAGCAGCTGCAAAGTTGGATTAGACAAAGTTTTATTTCTGAAATCTTCGTTTCTAAGCTCTAGATTTCGCTATTTTTTTGATGAATTTATGTTTCTAAAAGTTTTCTTTTACTTTAGATTAGTTACTACTCTTAGATAGCAGGTGAGGTTTGGGTAAAATTTTATTTTCAATTAAAGGTATTCATTTTTTAAGCAACTGCTGGATTAACTCTTGATTTTGAAGGACTAGGTGAGGTTCTATTTTTGATTCAAAGTTTTTATTTTCAAGCAGCTGGAAAATTAGATTAGGCAAAGTTTTATTTCTGAAGTCTTCGTTTCTAAGCTCTAGATTTCGCTATTTTTTTGATGAATTTATGTTTCTAAAAGTTTTCTTTTACTTTAGATTAGTTACTACTCTTAGATAGCAGGTGAGGTTTGGGTAAAGTTTTATTTTCAATTAAAGGTAATTCATTTTTTAAGCAACTGCTGGATTAGCTCTTGATTTTGAAGGACTAGGTGAGGTTCTATTTTTGATTCAAAGTTTTTATTTTCAAGCAGCTGGAAAATTAGATTAGGCAAAGTTTTATTTCTGAAGTCTTCAGTTTCGAGCAATTGTTGAGTTAGATTAGCTGAAAGTTTACTTTCGATTGAAGGTTTTCATTCTCAAGCAACTGTTGGATAAAGTTTTATTTTCGAATTAAAGACCTTTACTCGGAAGTAATTTAAGTGTAATTTACATTCTAATTTACGTTCTATTACCACCGAGTAATTTTTTTTTAAAATTACGCTTACGTTTTTAATTTGCTATGGTTTCTTGTTCTATGCGTTTAAACAGAAAAGAGAAGACGATAATTAACGTGCTTGAAGAAAATATGAATTAAACCGCATCCGCAATTAAATTAGTGAATACTGCATTGTTTTTACAACAATATGGGGAATGTGTTCGTCACGTCTGTTTTTTAATATCATTTCCATCTAGATGAATAATCGTAAGCTAAAAAGCATTGCACTGAAGCGAACGGTCTGACACAAATATTTTATTTAATTATCAACAACACCGTCGTTTGTTAATTACTAGTGTAGACACACCAATAACATAATCACCGATTGTATAATGCAGTTTCTACAGTACGAACGGCGTGTAGTCCGTATCATTTTGTCACATTATCGTTCGTATATAAATCAGGAATTAGACATACACGGATCGACAATCGCGTGATACCTAAATATTCGCCGCGTTTAATTAACAGCATTAACAATTTTAAAGGACGCGACAAATCGTTCATAAAGACGAAACAATAAATTATTCCCCGAACTCTCGATAATCAATTTTATGAATATTTCGCGATTCGTCGTTTCGCAATTTCACAAATAATCGATCGGAATAAATTTAATTCGCTGATGGAATTCTCATCTTTCTCGTCTTTAATGTTTCGGCGATTACTATAAATCGGTTCTGCGACGATTTTTAGCGATACTCTATCACTGTATAATTTGTGGTATGATATTACTGTTGTATTAATTTAATACTGTCACTGCATTATCATTTTAAAGTGGTTTATAATTTTCGGAGTCCATTTTGAAACGGCTGAAAAGTAGTGCATTCACTTAAATTATTAATTTTTACTTAATTCATTATTCCACTATTAATTATTAAATTGCTTCTGCCCAATTATGTAATTAATTCATCTCTTGGAGTACTGAATACATTAGAAATCTAAAAATTTAATACCAAGTAAAAAACATATAGCGTTACATAATTATATAGTATTATATCGAATTGAATGAGTTCCTAATTTTTTGTATGTATCACACTTGATATTAAACTTTTAGATTTCTAACGTGTTCAATAGTCAAACAGTTCAAAATCCTCTTTAATTATTTCAAGTGTCTGAAATTATCTGCACGATATTCCAGTACGCGTTAATCATTCAATCGTCTGTTTACGAATTCATTCCATCATAAATTTGCCATGATTCGCGGAACGAAGTCAAACCACCGCGCGGTCCATCAACCACTTGCGCTGGCAAACTGATTGCGGACCATAACGAGTGACCGAATCGTATACAATAATTCGCCGCTTTCTCTTTGAACTCGTCGGTACGATGTATCACCGGAATAGAAATTATTGAGTAAAGTAATAAATTTATCACTTGTTTTACCTATTTTTTTTTTTTTTTTCTTTTACTTAGACATACTTAATACTGAGGAAATATTACAATTTTTTCGACGTGCGTGGCACGTCATTCCAGCGCAAGAGGTTAAACATCGATTCCACGCGGTTGCACGTTTTCTACATTCTGCTCGTTTTTCTTTTTTTTTTTTTTTTTTTCCCACTCTCTGTTTGAAATTGCACAGCACACGCACAATTATCGATCACGCGGAAACTAGCACATCGTGTATGGGACAAGCGAATTGATGGTACGTGCGCAAGATGCAAGTATGAAAAGAAGAAAAAGTGAATATCAGAAGCCACGAAAAATCGGTAAATTTAATTCCGTTTCACCGATCCACGAGAGGCCAACAGCTCGTATCGATCGTCGAATATTGGCCGATCAAATAAATTGCATTTTGCTTCCTTCGTCTCACCGACAGACACGAGCTCGACACGCAAAATCGTAATTAATTACGCGCCAAATTGATTTCATCGGATCGGTTTGCTTTGTAAGTTCTATAAATAGGAGAAACATCAAAGTAATTACGCGATATGATTTATATCACGCTACTTATACGTGCAAAGAAAGAAACAAAGCAACGGACTATTAACAAGGCAAAAGCAGCATTAACGTTATGTACACTGTAGAAATACATACACAGTGAAGGCTAATTTAGACAAATTTTCAAACTACCAAATGTTTTATATATATGTATAATAGCAGAGCATATTATTATTACTATTCAAAATATTTGCGAATATTCTAAATTTTAAAATATGCTGTACGATTTGAATAACAAAGCACTTTTATTCGAATAATCCGAGGCATAAAACGAAATATTTTAATTTTGTAAATGATATATATGCAAATGTTTCTTAATTGCAAAAGTAGATTAAGGAAAGAGAATACAAGAACAATGAAATGCTTGCACTAACATTCTTTTCTTCTTCATTACAAGTATTATAATTTATCGATACATTTTGTCGTGTTTTTTCAAGAGATTTTTCAATTTAAATATTAATCGTTATATGTACTAACAAATGTCCGTATCATAGTGATATGAACTGGATTTATTTCGCATTCCAACATTGTCTCAGTGTCTCTTAATATGTTAATAACATACGACGAAAAATTAAGAAATATTGAATGCACACCAACATTTCCAGTAATATAAATAAGGAAAATAAACAACTAAATGAAACAAGAAAATATATCCCGTATATTGTATAGTATACTTTAAAATACTTTTAATACTGACACGATCGTAAGTTGAATGAAAAACGAAACAGAGAGACAAATTGCCATAAATTCCCTCAAGTTAGTAACTCGTTCATAACAATTTCGGCAAGTTTGAAACATTCCTTTTCATTTTCTTCGTGCCATTGAGAAATTTAATTGCTATATGCATTATATATCGTTACGAGTTTCCAAAGAATGGCAACTCCAGAAAATCTGAAACATTCTTCTCTCATTTCCGTACCATTGAATCTTTATGAACCTTCTTTCGTTGCCAATTAGCTGAAATACCGAAAATTGATTCGCTCTTTTTTCGTACCATTTATCTTGCTCTTGTCTCTTCGCTTTATTTTCTGTAATTATACGATAAAGTCACTCATCTTTTTCCTCGACTTCGTTGGTCCATTCGCGAGGTCTGGACCAAATGGTGGCCATT